TCTTCATCTTTTCAGTCAGCTTTATAGAAACAAGTCTCCCCGTAAAAGAAGAAAAGTTATCAGGACTGCTGACTGTTGGAAACATCTATGAAATTATGGGTTTAGAAAAATTTAAAATCTGACAAAAACATGATTCAAAGTGTTCTCATTATATTCAAAAAACACTGAGAAAGGAAAAAAACTGTTTGCCACTAGGGAAACCAGAAACATGTTATCAACTTACGGGTTACATGTGGTTTTATAGATATTTCCTATCTGCACAGGAAAGCCGTCCTTTCTTAATATTTTCTTGAGATAAGACACCCATCTGTCAGACCATTACAGGAAACAAGAATATTTGCCAGTACCTGCTATTTGACATTTTCTGGGTATAAAGCAAGTCTTGACCTGAGGGAATCCCCAAAGGTAGTGGAACAAGATAGAGCTCAATTAAGGGGTAAAGAGAGCACAAGTGATGCAGAGGGACAAAGGCGCAAGAGAAATATGATAGACAGCTCACAGGCCAGATACCTATATTGATTTAGACACATGGCAGGTAAATTATATTTGACCTGCAAAAAAATAATCGTTAACATCCAACTTCCAGTCTAACCTAAACCTTAAACAAAATGTTTCACCTAAATTGACTTCAAAATATTCCAATAATGTGATATAGAATAGAATCATAGAATAGTTAGGGTTGGAAAGGACCTTAAGATCATCTAGTTCCAACCCACCTGCCATGGGCAGGGACACCTCACACTAAACCATGACCCCAAGGCCTTGTCCAACCTGGTCTTGAACACTGCCAGGGATGGAGCATTCACAACCTCCCTGGACAACCCATTCCAGTGCCTCACCACCCTAACAGGAAAGAATTTCCTCCTTATATCCAATCTAAACTTCCCCTGTTTAAGTTTTAACCCATTACCCCTTGTCCTATCACTACAGTCCCTAGTGAAGAGTCCCTCCCCAGCATCCCTATAGGCCCCCTTCAGATACTGGAAGGCTGCTATGAGGTCTCTATGCAGCCTTCTCTTCTCCAGGCTGAACAGCCCCAACTTTTGCAGCCTATCTTCATACGGGAGGTGCTCCAGTCCCCTGATCATTCTCATGGCCCTCCTCTGGACTTGTTCCAACAGTTCCATGTCCTTTTTCTGTTGAGGACATCAGAACTGTACACAGTACTCCAACTGAGGTCTCACGAGAGCAGAGTAGAGGGACAGGATCACCTCCTTTGACCTGCTGGTCACACTCCTTTTGATGTAGCCCAGGATATGGTTGGCTTTCTGGGCTGCGAGTGCGTACTTTTGGCTCATGTTCGTTTTCTCATCGACCAACACCCCCAGGTCCTTCTCTGCCCAAACTGTAGCTGTGCCTGGGATTGCCCCAACCCAGGTGTAGGACCTTGCACTTGGCATGATTAAACTTCATGAGGTTGGCATCAGCCCACCTCATAAGCGTGTCAAGTTCCCTCTGGTTGGCATTCCTTCCCTCCAGCATATCAACCGAACCACACAGCTTGGTGTCATCAGCAAACTTACTGAGGGCGCACTCAATCCCACTGTCCATGTCAGCGACAAAGACGTTAAACAAGACTGGTCCCAACACCGATCCCTGAGGGACACCACTCGTTACTGGTCTCCAGCCGGACATTGAGCCATTGACCACAACTCTTTGTGTGCGGCCATCCAACCAGTTCTTTATCTACCAAGTGATCCATTGATCAAATTGATGTCTCTCCAATTTAGAGACAAGGATGTCATGTGGGACAGTGTTGAACGCTTTACACAAATCCAGGTAGATGACATCAGTTCTTCCATCCCTGTCCATCAGCTCTGTAGCCCCATCATAGAAGGCCACCAAATTGGTCAGGCAGGATTTCCCCTTAGTGAAGCCATGCTGGCTGTCACCAAGCACCTTGCTGTTTTTCATGTGCCTTAGCATGCCTTCCAGGAGAATCTGCTCCAAGATTTTGCCAGGCACAGAGGTGAGACTGACTGGTCTGTAATTCCTTATGTCACCCATTTTCCCCTTCTTGAAAATGGAGGTTATATTTCCCTTTTTCCAGTCATTGAAAGATTCACCTGACTGACATAATTTTTCAAATATGATGGATAGTGGCTTAGCAACTTCATTTGCCAGCTCCTTCAGGACCCGCGGATGGATTTCATCAGGTCCCATGGACTTGTGCACATTCAGGTTCTTAAGATGGTCTTGAACTGGATCCTCTCCTACAGCAGGCCCAAGGTCTTCATTCTCACAGTCCCTGTTGTCTGCTTTCCAAGACTTGGGCGGTGTGGTCAGAGCCTTTGCTAGAGAAGACTGAGGCAAATAAGTTATTAAGAACCTCAGCCTTCTCCAAATCCAGGGTAGCCACTTCTACTGATAGCTTCCAGAGGGGCCTGTGTTGTCCCTAGTCTGTCTTTTATTCACAGTATACCTATAGATTCCCTCCCTGTTATCTTTCACATCCCTAGCCAAGTTTAATTCTAACCAGGCCTTAGCTTTCCTAACCTGGTCCCAAGCTTCCCAGACAACATCACTGTATTCTTCCCAGGCTGTCTGTCTTTGTTTCCACTTTTCATAAGCCTCTTTTTTCCTTTGAATTTTTCTCAGCAGCTCCTTATCCATTCAAGGAGGTCTCCTGGCCCTCCTGCTGCACTTCCTTCTAGTTGGAATGCAACACTCCTGAGCCTGTAGCAGGTGATCCTTGAAGACCAACCAGGAGTCTTGGGCCCCCCTGCCCTCTAGGACTATATCCCATGAAACCATACTAAACAGGATCCTGAAGAGGCCAAAGTCTGTTCTCTTGAAGTCCAGGGCAGTGAGCTTGCTGCATGCTCTTCTGACTGTCCTGAGGATTTCAAATTCGACCATCTCGTGATCGCTGCACCCAGGGCTGCCCTGGAGCACCACATTTCCAACGAACCCTTCCCTGTTGGTGAGCACAAGGTCAAGCATGGCACCTCGACTTCTCAGCTCCCCTATTACTTGCAGAATAGAGATTACTTGCAGATATAAGAATTAATTCTAGAGATATTTCAAAGAATGAGATTATAGGAAAAGCAATATAAATAAAGTAAAAATAACCCAGATATATGTCAAAATTTTAAGCCAAATTTAAAAGGTTAGGATTTGCAGACATGGCTAAACTTTGAGACACTCCTGAGTCCAGAAATAGAAATGTTATGTTGCTAATGCAAATCAGAAGCTTGAAGCCATCATGTTTTTAAATAACTCATGTTAACAGCACAATCAGAGGGAAAATAGCCATGCTGAATTTTGACCCTTCTGATGTCTGAAGCACTACAATGTAGTTCAAGGGAACTACAGAACAGTCAGTCTCACCTCTGTGTCTGGCAAAATCTTGAAGCAGGTTCTCCTGGAAAGCATGCTAAGGCACATAAAAAAACAGCGAGGTGATTGGTGACAGTGAGGATGGCTTCACTAGGGGGAAATCCTGCCTGACCAATTTGGTGGCCTTCTATAATACGGCTACAGAATTGATGGACAGGGATAGAAGAATTTATGTCATCTACCTGGACTTGTGCAAAACATTTAACACTGTCCATGCGATGTCCTTGTCTCTAAATTGGAGAAACATCAGTTTGATAGATGGACCACTCGGTGGATAAAGAACTGGCTGGATGGCCGCACACAAAGAGTTGTGGTCAATGGCTCAGTGTCCAGCTGGAGACCAATAACGAGTGGTGTCCCTCAGGGATCTGTGTTAGGACCGGTCTCGTTCAGCATCTTTGTTGCTGACATGGACAGTAGGATTGAGTATGCCCACAGCAAGTTTGCTGATGACACCAAGCTGTGTGGTTCGGTTGATACGCTGGAAGGAAGGAATGCCATCCAGAGGGACCTCGACATGCTTGTGAGGTGGGCTGATGCCAACCCCATGAAGTTTAGCTGCAAAAAGTGCAAGGTAGGTTCTAGAGCTGGGTCAGAGCAATCCCAGGCACAGCTACAGGTTGGGCAGAGAACAGATTCAGAGCAGCCCTGCAGAGAAGGACCTGGGGGTGTTGGTCGATGAGAAAACGAACATGAGCCAAAAGTACGCACTCGCAGCCCAGAAAGCCAACCATATCCTGGGCTACATCAAAAGGAGTGTGACCAGCAGGTCAAAGGAGGTGATCCTGCCCCTCTACTCTGCTCTTGTGAGACCTCACTTGGAGTATTCTGTGCAGTTCTAGTGTCCTCAACATACAAAGGACATGGAACTGTTGGAACAAGTCCAGAGGAGGGCCATGAGAATGATCAGGGGACTGGAGCACCTCCCGTATGAAGATAGGCTGCAAAAGTTGGGGCTGTTCTGCCTGGAGAAGAGAAGGCTGCATAGAGACCTCATAGCAGCCTTCCAGTATCTGAAGGGGGCCTATAGGGATGCTGGGGAGGGACTCTTCACTAGGGACTGTAGTGATAGGACAAGGGGTAATGGGTTAAAACTTAAACAGGGGAAGTTTAGATTGGATATAAGGAGGAAATTCTTTCCTGTTAGGGTGGTGAGGCACTGGAATGGGTTGTCCAGGGAGGTTGTGAATGCTCCATCCCTGGCAATGGTCAAGGCCAGTTTGGCTGGAGTGCTGGGTGTGCCTGTCCATGGTAGGGGGTTTGGAACTAGATGATCTTAAGGTCCATTCCAACCCTAACTATTGTTTGATTCTAAGAACAATTGGACTGACGTCAGTTATTCTGTGGTGTAGTTCATATGGTTCATATTAAAAGCTGTGAGGATCTAGCATCTAATTATTTCCTGTTTCTGTGGCCTTGAAGAACAAATAGATTCTAGCTGATAAAGGCTGAATACTCCTGATCTAAATAACAGCTCATGATAAAAAATGTGGATGCACAAGGACAACTTTGATTTCTGTCCCGTCCTCCAAGAAATCTACTTAGTTCGGTTTTCTTAAAAAGATGGATGTGTCTTTAAAAAAGAGTGAACATACTGAGCCAGCTTATGCTGCAGTAGCTATGACAACAGACTTAGAAACAAGCATGGAAAAAGCTAGACCTGAATCATAATTTTTTTAATTATTTTTTCAGTTTACTCTTCACATGGACTACCTTACATTTTACTATGAAATGCTACAGAAATTGTTACTTCTTTTGAATATTAGAGGCATGACATCATATATAACAGGTTCTGTATAAAAACTGTATCATATTGTTTATTAGAGTTCAAATACTTAAAAATCAAAAGACAGGAGAATAGGTAGAGCTAACAGTCAGATTTTCAGTAAGTAGGCTGAAGTGAGAAGAGACTTCAGTACATTTTTTCCTTTCAGTCCTTCCTATCTTCCTTGGGTTATCTTTTATAGACATTATCCAAAATCATGGACAGTATTAACATTGCTAGAGAGACAATCTTGCTCCCTGTCCATGTTTCCTTTCCCATTCTTCTAACAGAAGGAGCAGACTGCAATCCCCATGACCAAGAACTGCAAAATATCAAGAACACTTTCTTTTAAAAAAGGAAAAGAAAAACTCAATACATTATCATTAACATCTTTTCTCACTCTGTAAATGTTACATCTGCCCTCTCTGTTTAATTTGAACATGTCCAAGGCTTCACAGGAAAGCCAAACTATGTCACAGCCAGGCTTATACAGAAGAGGAGTCACTTTAACCTACTTGGAGGTGGTCCATGTCACCTGTGCTGCCAAAGCAACTTAACAAAGTACAGCCATCCATAAGCTCCCATACCCAACTAGACCAGGGACGTAATACAGCACCCTTGCCCACTGACCCAGCTCAGCCTCTCTGAGGTCAGGGTCCCCTGAGTTCAACGTGGTGGATTGTGGGACACCACTGTAGAGTTTGGCACTATGAGGCATGCAGCCATAAAATACAGAAACAGTTGATTGTCATGCTACTAGTTGCTTATTAAGCTCATTAAGAACTGATTGTTGAGTAATCAGTCTTCATAATTCTCCCAGAAAGCCAAAAATGAGAAAATAGTGCATAAGACATAGGACATTCTTTTTCATAAAGTTTGAAACCCTAAATTTTTATTTTTTTTTCCACTTAGATCCCTCCACTTTCTCAGGCAAGTATTTCATGCTGCAATGAATGAATGAATGGTTGAACAAAGACTGTAAGTAAATCTGAATTATACTTTCTATTGGTGCATTGCTTTTTAGACTTATTTGCCTGACTGCCAGAAATTTGTACTGGGACCAACTCATGTGTAGGTAAACAACCATGGATATATTCAAAAGAGGAGGCTCAGGCCTTGGTCATAAAGCATCTCCACTCTCTAGAGTATGGGATGCCCCACATTTAAATACATTACTCTCATTCACTTTTTGTTCCAAACAACAACCCTCTCATGCTTTTGTACATTCTCCCTGCATTCTTAATATCCTGAGTCTAACTACATTGTTGCATTTGTTATTTGCTGATATTTGGACATTTTGAGGCACTTACAGATTTTGTCCATAGCTTGCAAGCAGCTGAAGATCACCATTGCAGCAAGTCCTCAGTCAGAAGAGGAGATTCAGGTTTCGACTGCAACAAAAGAAACAGACACTTGTGCAACTGCTAAAAAAGAATAGATGCAAGAAGCAAAGCCTGAAACCAAGCATAGCCCCATCTTACCCACACTCTATTTCATATAAGGGTACTCTGGTTGGATGGCTGCATTTAAAGAGAGCCTACTCCCTGGCACAGGTGTTACCTTTCATCCTAATTTCCCACTTTGGGAGTGGTAAAATTTGCACCAAATCTCTTCCTTTCTCATCCTTACCAGAATCAGGATGAAAGAGTGGTACCATACATTTTGTTCTTTCCATACGTATTCCAAATAACATGTATTGATAACATCTTTGTTCCTGCATTCACTACGCTCAGCACATATTCATTCTCTTTCTGATGATGAGTCTTATGAGGTGCATGCAGAGCTAATTTCAAATTCCTCCTCTTTAAAGTAGGTAAGAATTTTTTTTAAACATGAATGTTAGGGAAGTAAAACACAACCCCATTTTGTACTAGAGTTGGTATAGCCTTTCCAGTTTTTCTCTCTTCTGCCATGCAGTAGCATTGAGAACTCTGTTTCAGTCTCTCGTGTAGCAAATTTGAAAGTTACTATTTTTTCTTTTGTAATCAAGGAATGAGTCATGGGCACTTGAAGTTCGATAAATACCCAGAGGCATCCAGCTCAGTGTATTTTCAGCTCTGATGGGCCACAGAGGGATTTGTTTTTAATATTTTTTTAAATAAATGGAAATGGGAGTTTTTTCTTTTTATATGTAAACAATCCCCTAACATAAGGGACAGAAAAAGTTAATGTCAAAGAGGAACATTTACTAAAATATCAGGTTCTCCCTCCTCCAGAAGAGTTATTAGCATCACTGAATTCCTTTTCTGTTCAAAAAATACATACCCATTTTTTTTAGAGAAACACTTTTGTGGCTGCTGCTCCCTGACAGTAAGTGTTTGGGTAGGAGAAACTGTGTGTGAGGGCAGTGCTGCAAAGAGAAAGAAAATAAAAGGTGCTAAGTTTCCTGGTGAGGGAGGTTACAGAAGAACCCTCCCTTTCCCGAAGGGCTGTTGACTTTGAGGTCTTCAACAGAAGCAGGAAATGAATTGCTTTTTTTTCTAGGAAACAGTCCGATACAGCCTGGAGAAATACCTTCTTAGAAAGAGAAATGTTTTTACATATACTGGTGCATTCCAAACCTTGCTCTACTGCATAAAAACATAGATACAGCGGCCTGTCAGTATTAAAGAAAGTGAGCATGATGTGCTGGTCATGTACAGTAGGATCAATCAAAACAGACATGGAAATGGCACACTCAAATAGTACAGAATGAGTATGAACTGGTTCATATTATGTCTTAAGTTTTGTGGAAGGCTCCATGTAATGTATCACTGGGAAAATTTTTTAGTTCACTTAAGTCTTACCTCACCTTTTATTCCCCACCCCCCCACCCCCATTTATTTGCAGAATTCATAAAGCCCACTGACTTTCAGCACAGAAATTTATCATTCAGGCTTCAGAAATGAATTTAGCACTCATGATGCAAAAATAATGCTGTCTTAAAAAGGCATCATTTTTTCTTATTTATTCTTCAAGGAGAAACTGAAAAAAGAATACCTAATTAAAGTGTTAAAAAAAAAAAGAGAGAGATAAAAAAAGTGTGAGGGAAAACATTTATTTACATCTTTAAAAAAAAAAATGTCTTCCATGGCTTTTATTTCTGGACTATGAAAACATATCCTTATCTTGTTTCTCCCATTTTTTTTCTAGAGCAGACACTTAAGTAAAAATATCTTTTTATAAAACTATCCATATATTTGCTCAATCTATTTTTTTAATCCCTGTTTCTCTACAATATTTGCTGAAAAACTACTGATGATTTTTGCTGAGAGAAAATTGTTTTCTTAAAGTTCCATGTTAAGTGCTGAATATTCAAAACACTTCTGTGCACTCTAGCCAGGAGGATGGCTTTCTTATTTTCAACTCTTTTTCTCTTTCTAACAGTTGTAATACTGGTTGCCTTCCAAGTGTGATTTTAAATTTCCTGGTGTGACTAAAAGAAAGAAAGGTGACTTTCTGAAAGTCTTTTCTTTTAAAGCTATACAAGTACTGTGGACAATCCCAGACTTCCTTTCTAGGAAACTCTGCCTTCCTTGGATACTCGCTTGTACCACTAATTTGTGATACTATAGAAGGTGCCCTACACAGATCCACATTCCCTTCAACAGTCATCAGATGAGCACCATTTTCTGTGGTTTTTGATGTTTTTTTTGTTGAGTCCCTCAGCCTGTGCTGACATGTCATATTCTTTCTCTGTACCTTAGTCACTTGGAAGACGTGTTGAAAACCCTTCTCTGTAGAATGTGGTTTACAGGGGTATCCTCTTCTTTTCCTGTATATAGCACATAACATAAACCCTTTTTTTTTTTTTTTATACTTTAGACCCTATACTCAATAAGTTGTGAAGTGTGAAATAATTGTGAAGTTGTGAAGTGTGAAATAATTGTGAAGTTGTGAAAGAAATTGTGTTTTATATCATTACACTTCAGACTTCAGATCCACCTGTACTCTCCTGTAAAAAGTCAAAAAGACCTAACACATGATAGTCAAAGTTTCTTAATCTCAGAACTGTTTTATTTTCTGAAACCAGCACATAAACTATTTAAAATGGTCATAGAGAACGTCATCAGTCCTGGCTTGCAGTTTTCAGTGTGCTGTAGACACAAGCTGCAGGTAATTTGCAAGGAATAAAGAGGCTACTACACAGGGCAGGCAGTGGGGAGAAAGATAGCTTTGACAACAACTGGCTGCTTTGTGCTGGCTTTACACTACATCATACACCCAATGAGTACTAAACATAACAGAACCACTTCAAGTCTTGGCAGAAAAACATGCTATGTCTTCCTAAGAACAGTTGGGTCATTAGTGGTCATTCAGTCAGACAGACCGAGGCTGTCTCAAAGCTATTAGGTAGATGATGAGAGGTTGGTTGCGAGAAAATGTTGTCTTCAAGGATCATACTAAGCAATTACTTGGCTCAGCTGTGTGCAGAAATACAGTCCTCTCTGCAGGGCTGATAGACTGGTGGAAGCCAAAAGGGAAATCAGCACTTCATAAAAGTTAATGACCAAGGATTTACTCCTTATGAGTCCTGATGATATCAGGATTCAAATGCAAAGCACAATATTATTTCTTCTTCCATTGCTCCCTCCATTTTGGAACAGACTGCCTCCCTCTCTTTTTTATTATTCTTACTGTTGGTTTTTAATATATACATTTGTGAGAAAGCCCTGAATAAGCTACCCTTCATCATTTTCTTTCACTTCACAACCAGTTCTGACTGAGCTAGACCTTTTTCTCTTCTATTTTCCCAGAGGTAATATCTCAAGTAAGATTAAACATCTTCTTCCAGATGGCCCATTTTTGGTAAGAAAGTTCACACATGAAGCTAAGCACTGGCAAATCTTAAATCAGCGTCTTACACAGAGGGGAGCACTGGCATTCAGAGAACCAGGCATTTTTGACTGCTGCTCTCACATTGTCTGTACTGACATTAATCCCAAACAAAAATATTTCTCATGAACGTTAAATACTGTAAGTGCGATTGCTCATTTCCCAAGGTTTACAGTGTTAATTTTCATAATTGTATGAGGATTAGTACTATTATTATAGTTTAAAATTATTAATAAATAATTATATTTAAGAACAACTATTAAGTCAATAATAGAAAATATATTGTTATCTTTCTCTACTGGCTGGAAACAAGAGAATACAGTGATATCCAATGCAGCTTTCCACTCAGTGGCACTTAAGCATGTATGGATCTATGTTGAGGACACAAGACCAACTGTGAAACATTAAATAACAATAACAAATATAAATAAACCATCTGAATTTTTTTTTAAGTTATCACTATAATAATTATTTTATGTTATTTTATGTTATTTTTTACCTACGTTTCTTCTTCTATTCTACCCGGTATATTTTGATGCTTTTCCATTCTGTAACCAGGTCTCCAAATAATACTCACAGTTACACATTTTTATTTTAATTCATATGAGTGGGAAATGCATGTGAGGTAATCCACAGAAGGGCTTACCACTGATGATGGTGTGCCCTGCAAGAAGTGCCCACACTAACAAGAATTACGATAGTTGTGTCTGTACAACACAGCCCTGAACTCCTTAAGTCTTTGTACTACTTTAAAAGAATAGGGGTTCCAAATTCCAAACTCTCTGCAATTCACCCAGTGAACACAGGTAAAACATTTCCTTTCTGATTTCCATTTTCCAGCTGTTAAACATGCATAACGATACTTCTCATTTTTAAAGTATGTTGATCCTTATGGGGGAAAAAAATCATGAAAATATTAATATTCAGTTTTGATTATTAGGATGAGTGTCATTGGGCAGGAAGACACTCAAGCTAAAGTTCAGTTGTATGGTACCATAAAGCAGGCTCAGGTAAATGATAACAATTGACAAATCTAAACCTGGGATAATTCCAATTGAGCTTGTAAGATATAGAATAAAAAAGAATATACTTTAAGTATTCTGCCTTATGAAACCGCATTTTTGTGAGAAAAAAATTTATTGTATTGTTAAAGGAACAATCGGAATTGCAAAGAAAAACTGTTGGATTACAACAGCAGCCACACAGCAACAGAGCATTTATGGCTCTGCTCAGGGCAGACTGCTCAGTCAGGATTTTCCTCACATGTATTATTGTATAAAACTCCTATCATGCAGTTTTGCAGAGTTCAAGTGATGAAAGAGAAAGAGGAGGATGACTTATTGCTGTGGAAATCTGTCATCTATGTCTAGAATTACTGTTTTTTTACACCAGTTAGAAAGGTTTTCATTAACTCCCCAGCATCTTCCCTTCACCCCAATGTTCCTTTCTTCACAAATGCATATACAACATTTTTATTGGAATATGTGCTTTTTATGAATTGTACTACTAATATTGTTACAAAGTATTTACTGCCATTGTGCAGTACTAGATTATCAGGTCAAAATAAATTATAATTCCATAGGACTGTAAAAAAAAATCAAATATATGAACAGTAACCTTTTTGTTT